CTGGAAGGAACTAGCAGTGATGGATGGCACCCTGTCTAGTGGCCCAGTGATGTGGCCAGAGGCAGCCTCGCAGCCTTCCTGGGTGCGTTTTACGTGTCGAGGAAGGCCCCTTCCAATCCTAAAGACCTCGCATCTAGAAGGCAAGATGGTCAGCCCTTCATGGAGACTTTTTCTTAAAATCATGTCCTCACAACAATCTTGTGGGATAGTTTGTACTATTGTCCTCATTTTTCAGGTGAGGAAACCAAGTTCTAGAGAACTTGAGCATTGTCCAGCCTCAGGGCCAGAAAGTGTCCAAGTAGGGAGTGGAATCCAAGCAGTCTGACTCAGGTGTGCCCAAAAGTCACCACTCCTTTCAGAATGCCAGTTCCACTGGGAGGGCCGAGCTAATGAAATGGTAGCAGCCATGCATGTGCATTCAGGTTCTCTGAAGGTGGGTTCACGTTAGATTAGAGGCCTTGTGGGGAGTTTCAGCTGGAAGACAGATAGTGACAAGGAAAGTCCGTGCCTTCTTTCCACCAAAACGTGCCCACTGTGTGTGCGCTGTGGCCGCCATGCCTGCCTCCAACTGGGCATTTCTGATTCAGCCTAGAGTAGCAGGCAGAGTACCAGGACATCCCGGGACCCCAGAAGGCCCTTTGCAGGAATAAAGAATCGCCCCCTCCATGGCTGTGGGGGTGCTGAGTGCCCGGCACCCGAATCCTGTGATGTTCTGTCCTTGGCGAGCCACCATTAAACAAATTGAGGAGCTCTGGTGAGGTTTCTGCAAGAAGCACAAGGATTTGTTGTTATTCAACCTAAATAAGTCAAATGGAGACACTCATCAAGGAGAGAGGCGAGGGAAGCGACAGTGGATGTTGCTGCAGTCAGAGACTGGCAGGACCTTCTTCCACCCCTGGGGCTGAGGGGCAGGGCCGAGAGATGGGGTTACGAGAGCCCAGGAAGAGCTGGTAGGTGCAGTGGCGCCCAGCAGGACCAGAGCAGGGCGGGTCTGTAAGAAGTGTGGAGAGGCCAGGAGGGAGCAGGGTGGAAGTTCCCCATCCAGTGTCCTCCTGTTCTGTCTCCTCGAACCCAATGGGAAGCTGGCCAGCAGAGGATTCTACGTGCTGTGGCCATGGGGGAGAGAGCAGGGTGATTGCCTTACAATAGGCAGCCCTGGCCAGCAGCCATGGGTGGGGCAGAGACGCAGTGATGGAGGAAGTGCCACCAGCTTCCAAGAAGTATCTGAGTGTTAACAAGCTGATACTAAAAGTGGCTCTGAGTGGGGAGCCTGGGTGCTCCTACACGCTTTGCCCCAGAAGTATCTGGACCTTGGCCTATGACTCACTTGCTTTCATCTTTAGAAAGCATTCTAGAAGTATCCATGCCTGCTGATGTGCCCCCACTGATCTGTGCTTTCCCGTGGCCTATCTGGAGAAATGACACCCTCCAAGGAAAGGCCATCGGGGTCAGATAGCATCTGAGCGTCTGCTATGAACTGGGCCCCCATGACAAGACCCCCGCCCATAAACAGCAGGAGAGGATAGTCTGCAAGGCCTGTCACGTCACAGTGCCCATGGCCGGCCATGAGAGCCACTGCGTGAGACGTGGTAATGTTAGCACCGTGCAGACCGCCGGGGGGAAAGGAAGAATCAGGCATGGCAGGCCTGTCTTCAAAGACTGTTCAGTTAAGTTGAGTGAAGAAGGCAGTTACTCGGGATGTTTTCAGAGCAAATGGTGAGCATAGAAGCACAAATGCAGGCCAAGAGGACCACAGATGCTTGATGGAGAGTGCCCTGGCTGGGGATAGAAAACTTGGAAAAAGAGTGAGGGGCATTCTGGGCAGGTAAAGGCACAGGTGAGTAGGAACATGGTAGACTTGGAAGCCACACGTGGACCTGTGACAGGGAAGGTGACCACGAGAGGGACTAGAGGTGCAGGAGCTGGCTTCCAGTGCCCAGGAATGTCCCGGCCCTGTAAGCAGTAGGCAGCCATGGGGGCCTGGGGTTTGCTTTGGGCCTGTGCGGTGTGGACCGGAGGCAGGAAGATAGAGCAGCTAGGAGGGGCTGGAGCCGTGGCCTGGACTGGCTGTCCATGAGACCTCTCCAAAGACCAATGTACCAGGCGAGGTGACAAGATACTTAGATAATCGCCAGTTTGAAGTAGTGGCAGACGGTGCTGGTTTGAGTTCTCCAGAAGCAGAAACAGAGTTGGGGTGCCAACAGTGGTTGGTGAGCAGTGCCTGCGACAGGAGGGGAGGGGGCTGAAGGGGCAGGGGGCTGTCAGGAGCAGGGCAGTCCCACATCCTCTCAGTCAGAGGAGCCTGGGGCGGGCGTGGCTGGTCCCCGAGATGAGTGGCTCCGGCTGCCGAGCCATGGGGCCCTGAGACCAGAGCTCGGGGGCTCACGCCGCTCGCTCGCAGGGAGGGACAGCCTGGCTCCTTTCCGGGGACCCCCAGTGCTGTAAGGCGACCTTGCAGGGCTACTTCTCCACAGAGGGCTCACGGCAGGGCTGCCCTCGCGCTGTGCCCCAGCTCCCTGCTCGGAGCAGAGCTGGGCGCGTGGAGAGGGTGTGGGCGCAGCACCAGGAGCTGGGGATTGCTTCTGTCCCTCCCACAGCAGCTGCAGCCTCCGTGGCCACCAGGGCTGCAGCAGAGCCCCTCGCTCCCAGGGCAGGAGGTGTGCAACACACTGGCTCTGGAGCACTGAGTAAAAACAATTTTTAGTGGTAAACAACTAGAAGTTGGTCTGGTTTTTTCCTACTACCAAGAGCCAGCAATCCTAAACCTTTCCAGTGATAACATATGCCTCCCCCAGAAAATCCTTTTGTTGATCTAAGTTCTAGCTGTAAGCGATGGCTGCATCTACTGTAGAGCTGTGAGAATATACATGTAAACTTCACATGTGCATGTTGTTGCTGCCTGTCCTCAGTAAGTGTTTTCTGTACAGAGGCGAATGGAGAACTCCCAGTTAACAGGCAGGACTGGCACAGAGAGAATCAGCTCATCTGTTTTCCTTCTTCAGTAAATTCAAAATGATCTGGAATCTGAGCTCCATGGGGACAGTTTGGTGTCCAACCCCTGTGACATGACGTTTCTGCACTTGCAGAGTAGATTTGAAATAACCGAGGAGAGGTGACAGAGTCGGTTACTTCAATCTGGCGTTCCAGGGGACCACTTGAATGTTCTTGTCTTTAAAATTTTGTGACAGCAGAGATATTTGAAAGATAATTGATCCCAAAGAAACGTAGACATGCTATTCATGGAATTTGATGTGAAATGCGATTTTTGTGAATTTCTCCCAGTCTTACCATTTTGTGTAACACTTTTCCTTTTTGTCTATCTGTTGCTTAATGTGAAAGAAAATTTCTCAAAATTAAAATAAAGCAAAAATGTTCTGTGATCAATGATAGGTGAAGATAGATCGACAAATCTGACATAAAGAGAAGTTCAGTTTTGACAAATCATTGATAAATTTGCAGAAGTTAAGGCTCAAAAACAAATTGTAATTATTCATCAGTGTGACAGACTGACATATAGGTATATGTATTATTCCCCATTTTTCAAAATATATATTATTGTAATTAAAAAGTATTACTACATGACTTTTTCCTTGTTTTTACTGTGATATTTATTTTATTTTTTTCTATTTATTGGCATTATAATAAATATAAAATTCAATAAAAGAACATTTTGGCAGCATGCATTTCTTTTCTGTCCCACATTGTTCTTGTTTCATTTCAAGAGCATTACTGATGGTCACACAGAGGAGCAGGTGTCAAATACACCGAGGATGCGCCAGTGTTCACAAGGTCCTTCATGAAGGACTACAGTCGTTTCTGGGCTTCATTTTCTTTTTTCCGTATCAACCCCCTTCTCTTAGGAAACAGGAGGCCCTGAAGCCCGTCCGATCCCACTGTGGCCTGTGTCAGCGGGAGCCCTGTCTCCCTGTCTCATTCGGTTTTATCGTGTTTTCTAAGACCTGGCCAGCTGTTTCCATTTCATTTTCGCTGTAGAGATAGAAGTGAAAAGATCATGAAAATTCTCTGACTTCTCACATGTTCCTTTCATTTTTTCTGGTCCTTTCTTCAAAGATACTTGAAGATTACCATGGTTATTTTTGAGGACCCTGGATGAGAAAGCTGCTTTGCTTTTCCTGTGCTGTGCTCTCCTGCTGGCATCCCTTCTGTAAGAGGCTCAATATGAGAAAATCTACATTTCACAAGAGGTCAATGGAGGCTGAAGCTTCCGCTTTCTCTTTGTCAAAGAATTTCCATTACTGTGTCTTTAAATTGCCCTCTCCCCTCCTGTATTTCAGAGAGTCAGATTTATAATAATTCTATGTACATGCAACTCACTAAGACTACCTCCTCTATTGCAGAAACCACAGCACACCTCTGTTTGGTGATGGGACCTAATTAAAATGTGGAGTTTTGGTGACTACCAGTCATAAAACATACCCTTCCCCTGTGCTGAAGGTCACCAAGTGCATTTCTCTCACGTAGGGGTGCAAGCCTCTGCCAGTGGACCTCCAGCCCCTTGAGGGTAGGGCCTGGTGCACAGCAGGTCCTTGCGCCCTGTTCTCCTGTGAACTCTTGTCAAATCACTGGTCCTGTGGTTTTCTCCGCTCCTCCCTGCTTCACTGTTGTCAGAGCCTCCCCAGCTCACCTTCCTCAGTGTCACTGCAGCCACCCAATTCTTGGAAATATGCTGAGGACCTTCTTTGCCTGCATGCAGTTAGCACATTGGGAACTGTAAGTCTGAGCACACTGAGGAATGGGCAGGACCTGGTTGGCCCACTTGGAGCTTCATAATTTTCCCTACATGCTGCCATCATTTGTTTCTGAGCCTTTCTTTAAAAGAAAAATAATAATAAAGTCAAATGTTTTGGGAATTGAATCTTAGCTTCTTAAACTTTCCTTTTATCAAGGCCTTCCCACTAGCATCCTAACCTTGTTTTATTTTGCTTCTTAAGCTAAAAATAATTGTGCTAACATGTTCATTTCCGTTTTCTGTGTTTAAGTCCATCAGCGTGCAGCAGTGAGCCGACCCATCCCCGAGCCCCCACGTCCACGCGGGAGGACTGAGGGCCACCTCAGGCACAGGGGGGAGGCCTGCCCCAGGGCCCCTGTGAATTGCTGCTGCAGCCCAACCAGAGCCCATCCACCTTTCCTGGCTTCATGTATCTTCTCGTGGCTTGGATTTTTCAACTATTATCTATTTCTTACAATGTCGTTGACCTTATTCTTGTCCCCTTTCACTCAAATCCATGCACTATCTGATAACCTTGTTCTGCTTCCTGGATTTCTTCATTCACTGCCTTTCTCACAATTTATGCTCATTTCTCAGAAGACTTTGATGTTGATTATTTGCTGCGAAACTAGCTCTGAACAAAGTTCACGGTACTGTTGTAACGGTTGCTTAAAGCCACTTTTCTTTTAGAGATATACAACTTCTGATGCTGGACTCGCACACCTCTCTAGAAAAGACACGCACTAACACTGAACACTCTGAGTGACAAGCCCCGGGCCAGCACATTGACGGCGAGGGCCCCACACAGACTCGTGACCCAGCTCTGAAGTGCCCTTGTTACTGTGGGGCACAGACAGTATCCAGGTGTACTACAGATCTGCTTTCGTTTACAACATCTTTTCTTCAGGTTTTTTGGGGAAAAGTCTAGACTCTAGATTTTCTGTCCAACAGCTTCTTTCTGAGATTACCAAAATGTGTTTGCCTCCCAAGATAAAAGAAATCTACAATGTAATTCAGAAAATTACTTTTATTTAGTCAATTCTATAATGCTTTATAAGTGTTTTCCATTTATAGAGCACCTTCATATATATTAATTCATTATCTCAACAAGCCTATGGGATCACCAGCACCCACATTTAGCTGCTGACTAGCAGAGCCAGATCCAGAACTCAGGTCTGACTCAGTCTAGTGCTCTTTGCACTACACCATGTTGGAATCAATGGACAGCAAACTCTTCATGTGAGCAAAACAAAGATAACCTGCCAAAATAATTTAGAAACAAAGGTTGAGGCAACTTTGTCATATGGCATGGTTGGTTCTCAGTGGACTAATTTATGCATTGATAAAGTGGAAGTGAATAGTAGAAGAGGCCACAGTTAACTAGTCTACAAAAGAATGTTGTCTCCACATGATCTGATAGCGTTTTTGAGGCTCATAGACTTGAATTGGTTGTGTCTGGAATCCAGAACCTGAAGAAATCTGGACAAGGCAGTGAGTGGCATCTAGGTTAGGAAGGGCAGCAGACAGAGACGGAACCCTGCTAGAAGAGCCAAGAGCAACACAAGTGCAGAACAGAAGCCAGAGAGGCAAGGCGGGAGCTGCCTGGGAGAGGCTCTGAGGTGGGCCCAGAACTGAGCACACAGGGAGGAGGGCCGATCTGGGTCAGGATGGACTGTCCCGCAGCAAGCCCTCACCCAGAGGGAGTGCCCCTGTGCTCCTGAGGATGTGCGCAGGGGTTGGAGGTGCTCCATCTGTGGCGGTCACACGCTGAGGACACACTCTAAGAAACACCACTCTGGACTAAGGACAGCTGCTCGGCAGCCACGAGTCAATGCACGTTGAAGACCATAGAGTCGACCTCATCTTGCCCAGAGGCAAGACTTGTTTTGCCCCAAAACTTAAAATAAAATTTTAAAAAGCTCTCAAGTCTGTGGAAAAGAATTGATTTTTTTAAAAGAAAAGTTTGAGTAGGAAAAGAAGCAATGGGGCAATGGAAAAGTAGTTATGACAGCCATTCTAAGGAGACAAGGAGTGGACCTTTAGAAAGACAGCCATTGAGTGTGATGGTGAGCATGTCTCGGGCTTCTTTGCCAGCAAAAACCTACTCGATGTCGAATCAGCACCCCTACACTTTGGTTTCTATAAGTTTAAAACTCAAAGGTTTGAAAGCAGAAAACCATGACATTCTTTGGAAGTAAAAGACAACATGGTATTTTGGAAAACGGCGAACTTGCGCCACTTAGGCAGCGAGGGTCCACTTTCCCAGCCATGTGCTCCTCCACCCGATCAGAGCGCTTGACAACCGTCAATAAGTGGAAGAGAAACTTTTCAAAATTACTTCTGAAGCTTAGATTTATTTATTGGCCCAAAAGAGGTAGGCAACATTTAAGGTGGAAAAAAAAAAGTCTTTGGGTCTTCTCTAGTGATGTCACCGTTTTCTCATTTCCATATTTAGGAAATGCTTATTTTTAAGCTCTGTTTGTTTCCTGAAGTCTGCTCTGCAAAGTGTCCCTGTGAAGTCGTGCTGTGTCCGTTTCACAGAGCACGGGACAGACACTGTTGTCCCGATGCCCTTTCACTGCCTGGCATCATAGCTGATCAGCAAACATCCAAGAGAACGTTCTACACAGCGTGTTCTAGGTAACTGGCGGGATTCAGTCAGGAAGATCAGCATCCGTCCTGCCCTCAGCCTCCAGGTTTATCGGCCTAATCAGAATTATTTATTATTTCAATTATTTTTCCTGAAATGTTGGCAGGCGTTGTTGGCATAGCATCTTCCTGGCTGCCCTCTTGCTCAGGTCCAGGGTGATTTCTCCAGTCCTCAGTTTACTAGACCTTAAAATAAACACGGAATTCAAAGAATTTCAATTTTCTGTAACAAATCAGGTGTAGAGTCATTAAAAAAAGAAAGTATCTTTTGGGGCCGGCCCGGTGGCGCGCGGTTAAGTGCACACTTTTCGCTTTGGCGGCCCGGGGTTCACCGGTTTGGATCCTGGGTGTGGACATGGCACTGTTTGGCAAGCCATGCTGTGATAGGTGTCCCACATATAAAGTAGAAGAAGATGGGCACGGATGTTAGCTCAGGGCTAATCTTCCTCAAAAAAACAAAAAAGAAAGGATCTTTTTGTGTGTGGCCTTTGGGCGAATTTCAATTATTGAAATTATCTCCCCTTCCCTTTTCCCATAGTTACCAGTAAAGGATTGCGCCAGTGGTGGGGGGGTGGGGGGTGTGGTGAATTTACTAGTAATATTTTCCTTTACCCAAAACTTTGCCAGATTGAGGTCTTGGGATAACTTACTCAAAAGCCTCAACTTCTAACCCATTCTTGTTTTCTTAGCCCCATCAGAACTGAAGATTGTAGAAATGTCAAGCGCTGCCTCATTTAGGGCTGAGGATTCAGCCAAGTTAGTGTTTCTGACTTGACCGGGGAGCTCCTGCACCCGCCTGCTGGCACCGACGGGTCATGACCCCTGAAGATGACTAGGTCTCTAAGGAAAGAGTGAGCGCTTCTTACAGTAAATTAACAGCAGCTAAACATTCTCCAAGAAGACATGTGCTGTCCCACTTACAATAAGAGTCCCCAGCATTTCTCTGAATAGCAACAGCAGCTGTCATTTAATGCAGATCAAAGACAGAGGAACTTTTCTTACCATACAGAGGTTTGAGTGGGCAGTGGGGGATTCTGGGTGGTTTCAAACCTTTCCCTTCACATGTAATGTCACCCAGGCGTGTTTCATCATGAATGCGAGCTATTTTATGTGCTAACAGAAAACATGGAGTATCTCACAAGATAACGCCCTGCTAATCAGCCCGCCTTCGTCCTGGCTGTGTTGAACATGGGTGACCATGCATACACATGATTTTCCACAGAAAGACGCACACCAGAACTTGTTAAACAGCCCGTGGAGTTGTATCAGGTGCTAACAGACGCTGCAGCTGTCTGGCCAGCACAAATATTGTGGGCTTGCTCTAACGGCCATTTGGGTTGACAGAGTATGGGGGATCTGACCTCTGGTTTTAGCAGCCTACTTCCCATAGTTGAAGGAAATCACTGGGATTAGATTTACCTCCTGTTTTGATTTTCTCTTCTTCTGCAACATATTTTAGCCTCTTATTTTTTTCCACATTTTTTTAAACAGCTTTATTAGGTCAAGTTTACATACGATAAAATTCATCCATCTAACGTGTACAATTTAGTGATTTTTAGTACACCTACCAGGTTGTGCAGCCATCAGCATAATCCAGATGCAGAACATTTTCCTCACCCCAATGAGATCCCTCACCGCCGTGTGCAGTTCATTTCCATTCGCACCCCCAACCCTGACAACCACTCATCTACTTTGTCTCTGCAGATTTGCCTTCTCGTGACATTTCCTCTAGATGGGATCATGCAGTACATAGTCTTTTGTGTCTGACTTCCTTCACCTAACACAGAGTTTTTGAGATTCATCCATGGTGTAGCACATATTGATGTTTCTTTCCTTTTTATTGAATCGCCTGGTATATTTTTACGGGAGTTAAGGACTGATCACTAGTGAGTTGGACCACTGGATCTGATTGTGGGATGTCTGGAGCCATGTTTGATCGTCACAACTAGAGTGGGGCCTGCTACTGGCACGCGTTAGATAGAGGCCAGTGATGCTGGTAACCATCCTGCAAGGGACAGGACAGCCCTCTCAACAAAGAAGCACCTGACCAAAACGTCAACGGTGCAGAAATTGAGAGTCCCTGGCTTAGACTTGACTGAATTTCCACTTATCATTGGGGTCCATGTTTAAAATCAAGTGTTTCTTGATGGAAATTTCCCTTTGATTGTAATAGATGTCGTTGCTTTGGGGTTCTGTTTTTCTCATTTTTATGTATGTTTAAAATACGAACTCATTTGTGAAAGTGATCATTTTTCTATCATTTGGGAAAATTCTGGAATCTCCTAAAATGTTATTCAATAAGAAAGGTGACAGGAGAAGAGTGTACAGTTCTTATTTCCTGTCTGAGATCTCAATTCCACCTGGTGTTGAAAATTTAGCAAAAGAAAAGTAGCAAATGATGTTGGCTTGTACAGCTTAAATTCCCAGGACGCTGAGGAACTGTTGGTAGGCTTAAAATAAAGGCATTTAATAAAGTACATTAAGTTTATTTAGCAAAAGATTGCACCATAATTTTTGTGGCCTGAGGACCAATGTTATGCACTCTAGCTATATTTTGCCAGTTCAGTTCCAGAATTTTGAATCTGCTATGTTATTCTTAACATTAGTAACTAAAGTTTACACGGGGGCAGAGGTTAAAAGAAAACGGATCTGGAAAAACAGAACCAAAGAAGTTCTTATCACCCAGCATTTGGTGCAGCACTCCCCTCTTGGGAATAAGAAGAACTCAGCCAGAATTTAAATATTTTGTTTTATCTGAGACCAGGGCCTCGTTGACTGCTCAGTTTTTTCTCTGGGGTGGTTGAGACGCCAAGAGGTGGAATCCTATCTCTTAGCTCTTTTGAGCTTTGTGTGATGACGAATTAGAAACCAAGTTCTCTGTTGGAGCTTACTAACCTAAGTGGAGCCTGATGTGACGTGAGTCAGTAAACCATCCCCGGCAGAGGGTGCCTATGGGAATCTGACAAATAAACAGTGGCGTTTCAGCTGCCCCAGGCAACTTCTCACTCTGACCCCTCTTCTGTTCCAGGGGCAGCTCTGCCTCAGCCCTGCAAGACCCAGGCAATGACGGGGAAGGGCAAGGGGGTGGATGACTGGGGTTGATGTTCTGGCTGCCAGGAGAGAGGGGGCAGAATGGGGTTTCCTGGAGGTTCTTCTCATTTTGATGTCCTTTATCACCCCAAGCCTCCTTAGCGCCTCCTGTGTACACTAATAGTAAACCAGGTCAGAAATATATGGTAACATTAAACGGAGTGCAAAACACATACATGCACATGCGTGTGTTCACACACATGACATGCATACATAACACGTGCACACATATGTATACACATACCTGAACATGACACACAAACATACCGATACACACGACACACGATGCAATATATACAGATATACAAACACACAATACATGCATGCATTTACATGTGTGCACAGGCACACGTGCATACACACACTCCTCAGAATTACCATAAGCACTTTGTGCACATTTATTCATCACTGCCGGATAGATAGTATATGTCTGTGCTACAGCTGAGGACGCTTATGCTCAGAGAGGTTAAATAACTTGCTCAGGGCCATACAGCTGCTAAGTCGTAGAGCCTGGATTGAAACAAAGTTTCCTCTAAATCCAATTCCAAAGAAAGAAGCAGGAGGGAAGAAAATTTTGCCTTTAGAAAGCTGTAACTCCAACAATCACAACATCCGTGGTTGCGGGGGTAGGGGAGGGGGAGATGACTAGGCAGAGCGCAGAGGCAGTGAAAATACTCTGGCTAAGATTATAGTGGTGGATACATGCCATTATATGTTTGTCCAAACCCACAGAAGGTACAACACCAAGAGTGCACCCTCATGTAAACCATGGACTTGAAGTGACAACAGCGTGTCAAGGTGGGCTCATCAGTTGCAACAAATGTACCTTTTTGGTGGGGGATGTCGGTAGGAGAGGAGGCTGTGTGTGTGTGTGTATGTATTGGGGGTGGGACACAGGGTATATGAGAAACCTTTGTACCTTCCTCTCAATTTTGTTGTGAACTTCAAACTACTCTAAAAAATTAAATCTGTAAAAAACCACAATATACCTCCACACAGAAGTGTTGCAGCTCAGTCTTTCCACCACCATTCACAGAGAATGCACCTTGGGCGATCAAATGCCTTACCTGAATTTGAAGCTCAGGAATATGATAACCTTAGTCTGTCTTTCTCTTAAAATAAAAGTAGCTTTTTTTTCTGAAGATAAAAATGACATATGCTGATTAAAAGAAAGTAAAAATTATTTCCACCTCTTAACATCTCCTGAACATTCCTCCTGCTATCTCTAGGCAGATTAGATAGGTGGATCATAGAAAGATGGATGATTTATGGAGTTTCATATAAATGATACTATGGTATAGATACTGTAATATATCAGGCTTTGTTTTTACTAACAGTGTAGTTTGACATTCCGTCAAGACATCTAATTCTATACCATTATAAAGGCCACACTGATTCATAACTATGATCTATTGGACCTGTATCCTTGTTGGTGTTGTTAAGCCCTCTTGTGAGGGTGGGGCAAGACAAGTAGCCATGGAAAGCCCAACGCTGGGGCAAAAGATGTCTTTGAGGAAGGAATCAAGCACCACACTCCGCATGGAGCAAACCTTCAGGAAACCGAGACCTCTTGATTTCTGATTACTTGAAATTCTAGGGCTACCATCAGCCTAAACTCTTGAAGCCTAGCTGAGCCTGATAAAGACTAGCTTTAGACTAACGCGAAATTTTGACCCCAAAACTAACGCAGTGGATGCACAAGACCTTAAGAGCCATGCTGTTCCGAGAGCACTCCTGCAGCTCAACAGAGAAGCTCAGGCATGCTCCCGCCTCGCCGGGGGGCTCACCACCTCTCTGAGCTTCTACCCTCTGTTCTAGAAACACTCCAGGATTTCATGCTTGCCCTCCTTGCTTCCATCAATGTGTTCCTGCTCTTTGTTACATGCTGGGAAGATACGTTCTCTTTTTTTGAACACTGAAGTTGGAGCCAATTTTTTCAGTGCTATTCTTCATTCAACAAGTATTAACTGAAGGCCTACCGTGGCTGTGCAGTCTTCTAGGTCCAGGGATACGGCAGCAAGCAAGATGGAAGTGAATGCCGGTGGGAGCGACGAGAAGGTCCATCTTCACGTAAGGAGCTTGTGGGGCCTGGGAGCTGGGGGCTGGGATCCACAGCGTTCCCTGGACACCCTCGTGCACGCATTTTTGCAAGTCTAAGTGATTTTTTCCTTGAGATAATTTTCCAGAAGTGCCACTGTGGATCAAAAGATCTGCACATTTAAATACCAGAAATATCAGATCAAATTGTACTTTGTACAACAGAGCAGAACAGTGGATTGTGGCTTCCCATTTAACTTGTCTCTCTCTCTCTCTCTCTTTTTTTTTTTTTTTTTTTTGATAGGTAATTAAAAGGAGATGTAAGTGAAGGCCTCCTCCCCATTCTCACTTTTTACACAAACTATTCTAGGTACAAATTTTGATTTTCAGTGGTGGGAGGTGGGAGGGAGAAGGGAAATGTTCTGACACGTAACTTTGTGTGCATCTTCTCTCTAAAATCGATCAATGGAAGAAGCTCCCGGAACCTCAGAGAGGAGCAATGTTTGTTTGCTGTTTGTCACTCTTCCCCTAAGAACACGTCTGTTCTTCCACTAGGGTGACACTCTGCCCCCTCGGGAAGCATTTGCCACCCCTGGAGACCCACAGATCTCTGGGAGCAGGAAACTCTCCATTCAGTAGGAAACTGTTACCTTTTGGAACTTTATCCCAAACCTGGGGTCCCTGGAGGAAGCTTGGCTCGCTCTTGACAGCCGCCCCTCTGCCAGTACCTCCCCCCTCCTCTCCAGCCTTCTGTGATCTCTTTCTCATTCCTAGGTGTTCTTTGGAGACATTTAATTTTGTAAATAAGAAGATATCAGTTACTGTTATTTTTTAAATGGCACTCAGGAATGTTTACCCCAACTTTGGAGACATGGCACTGACCTGAAGTGCAACTGGGGGGCGGGGGTGACGTCCATTCTAGATGGTGAGATATTGTCAAGGCAGCCAGCACCTGGGGACCCCAGCTTCCTGCACATCAAAATGGGGGGCCAGGGGCTGGCCCGGTGGCGGAGTGGTTAAGTTCACACACTCTGCTTCGGCGGCCCAGGGTTTCGCCAGTTCGAATCCTAGGCGCGGACATGGCACTGCTCATCAAGCCATGCTGAGGCAGCTTCCCACATGCCACAACTAGAAGGACCCACAACTAAAAATGCACAACTGTGTACCAGGGGGCTTTGGGAGAAAAGGGAAAAAATAAAATCTAAAAAAAAAAAAAATGAGGGGACATGTTCTCTTGATTTATATACCATCTCTTCTACCAAAGAGCACACAGCATCTTAACAAGATTTTTAGCCCTCATAATATTGTCATTCGGGAGAAAAGGTACTTTATTTCATTTTTACTCCATCAGAGAACAGCATGATCAAGAGGAGGGTGGTTCCAGCTACCGCCTCAGCCCCAAGCTGCTTGCCAAGAGTTACAAACTTCATGTCACTCAGTATCAGGTTAGTACTGATATTTCCGGTCTTGACCCTACTCCACACTGTGTGAGAGCAGAGGTGATGTGGAGTCTGAGGCAGAAATGCCCCCGTGAGTCTGCTCTGTCCCAGGGCCAGGGATGAGGCCAACAGGAATCCAGAGAGTTCAGGTCCTGAGTGCACAGGTCCCCACTGCCAGTGACTTGGGCTCTGCAGGCAGGACCACATGCAGTTCCACACGCATTTCTTATTGCACCCACAGAACTTCATCCTGAAGCTTCCTTGCACATTCATCACACTGCACTGTGAAGTGTGTGTGCGTGTGTGAGAGCTCCCTGAGGCTGGGGACGGTGTTTTGTTCACCTCAGCACCCCCAGCTTCCTACATTCTCCCTGGCGTCAGTGTTATTGAATGAATCATTCATTCAGTGAGTGGGGGTTGGGGGATTCTAAGCCCGTGCACTCCAAACTTTTACATAATGCATCTCCACTGATGGGAAACCTTAAGCTCACACACCTCCCATCCCCTGGGATGGGGTCGACGTCGTTAGCTGATACAGCAGGGTGACACATGCATCTAGTATGAGCTTCCGCATTAACGACAGAGAGTGGAAATGCATGGCGTTGGTTTGACTGGGCTACTGTAACAAACTGCCACCGACTGGGCATCTTAAGCAACCAAGGTTTTTTTCTCATGGTTCCAGAGGCTGAAAGTCCAAGATCAAGGCATCAGCAGATCTAAGGTCTGCAGGGGACCCTCTTTCTAGTGCACAGATGGTGTCTTCTCACTGTGTCCTCACACGGTGGAAGGGGTGAGGGAGCCCTCTCGGGTCGCTAACCCCATTCCTGAGGGCTCCACCCTCAGGACCTGAGCACCTCCTAAAGGCCCCCTCCTGACACCAGCACACGGTGGGTGAGGATTCAACATTGGAACTGGAGAGGACGCAGATATTCAGTCTACAGCATCTGTGCCGCAAAGAGCCATCTTCCTGTCAGATCTTGTCAGATGAGTCCTGCATGTTTTTAATCTGGAAAGGTGGCTGACAAAGAGCTTCTGCTCAGAGGAGGCAAGTGGCTCTGCCTTTTCTCTTTGCTTGCTCGTTGTTAGTGCCGTCTTTCACTCACAGTTTCTTCGCTAATGGTTCTTTTTGGGGTTGTCTACTTAACACCAGAAGGCATTACCTGCAAATCCACTTATGGAGGGCCCGGCAGAGCATGGTGGCAGTCTGCCTGGAAAGGACCACCACCAGCCTGCACCTCGGGGCACCTACCTCCCTGCAGGACCCTCGCCCGTGGGGCACAAGCATGACAGACAGACACAGCAGGGCCACTCACTCTCTAGGCTAAGGATGAGGTTCGCTTATTTTTTAGATTTTAGATTAAAACAAATAGAAACAGGAGCTCTGATAATCTTTGGGAGCCCTCTTCTGTGCTCTGATCTCTAAGAACATAAGCTTTGAGGGGGCTGGAAGCCACTGCACCTGCTGGATCCCAGCCCTGGAGCAGTGCTAAGCAGGTGGCACGTACTCCACACAGGCTCATCGAAGGACAGAGGTGTTTGGATTGAAAGCAACTTTTCATGAACCAGTGACTGATGTGGTGGCAGGTGACAGACGTTCGGGTGGCTTCACAGCCTCATGGCCAGCGGCAGGTCGAGGCTGTCTCCTCCGGACTGGGGGCTCCCTCTAGTCGGGGGGATCAGACACAGTCCCCAGACCCCACACACTGTGCCCATCAGGTCTCAGAAACCTCTCTGTAACTTAATACAGGGGAGATGGAGTGACCAGTATCCAATCTAGGGGCCTTCAGAGATACAAAGAGTTCACTAAAAACGGAACTTTGTTATAGCTTCCCAAATAGGGATAAAGATACGGAAGTAGTAGTAGTCACACAGCAGAAGTAGTAAAGTAGCAGGAAAAGTAGCAGTGAGAATTAGCAGCAGCAGTGGCAGTAGTCGTGAAGGTGGTAAGAGGAGCTGTGGCAGGAGAAGCAGCAGCGGCAGCAGTGGCGGTGGCCACAGAGGGCAGCCGCTGCCCGCCTTCATTGATACCTCCTATGCGCAAATGCTGTCCTGTTGTACTCTCGTTTACTACTAAAAACTGCCCTGTTTAAGACCCTTAATGTCTTTGGTTGGCCTTACGGTAATGTCTGAGATCCTCACCCTGACACCCTGGGCAATGCCAGGCCTGCTCCGCTCTTCCAGCCACATGCCCCCAGCCCTCAGCCTGCATCTTTCTTTCAGTTCCTCAGCATCCTGCCCTCCCTGTGCGTGTTCTTCGTTCCTCAGGAACAAGCAGCGCTCCTGACCACCTGCCCCTGTAGCCCACGCCCACCCCACAGCCTTAGCTCCGAGTCAGTCCCGTTTGATAGAAGCCTCGCCCCCTCAGCATGGCAGTTGTCTGTTACTGTAATTGCTTGTTTAATACTTTATCTCCTCCATCTGTGCAGCCAGAAAAGAAGGAAGTGCTCACGGAAGGATGGGGATATGCCAAAAGGGCATAGAAGCCAACCTGCTGGAGCTCCCAATGGCGAAAGCTGGACCGAGTTGAGCAAAAAAAACAAATAATGATAGCAGTGGATTCTAATTCATAGAATAATATAAATATTCATGGGTCCATATTGATACAAAAAATGCAAACCAGTGAGAGGAGAGAACTCATGTGTTGTGCCTGCTACTCACTGCTGTGTCTCCCCTGGGGCCAGAACACAACATGGTGCACAGTCGGCGGTAACTGCTCAGAGTGGAATGAAGGAGCTGTTGGTGTCACCCATGCACAGGTGAGGGGACGGAGCCTGGAGGGCAAGGGCCAGCCTGAGGAGGGCTGTCAGCAGTGGGCGGAGCTGTGAACTCTGCTTGCTTACTACTACCTCCCAAAGGTGAGGCCAAAAACAGCCCAACAGCCCAAAAGCAGCCAGGTCTGACACTTAACAATCCTGTCAGATTCTGAAGGCCTTGGCTCTCCATTTTAGTGTGCCACATTTCATGAATCTTTGCGAATCCGAGCAGTGAACCCTTGGTGTAACAATGCAATAACAGCAAATGGAGAGACTGTTCTGGCTGTCCTGCGTCATTCAGACTTTGTTCGGAAAGTTCCGTCTGTGGAGCTGTCTTGCCGAGGACAGAGAGCACTGCACACGTCTGTCAAGTCCCTGTTCTGGTTAAGCTCCGACGCTGCCCCCTTGGTATCCAGCCCACCCCTCCTCCAAATGCCCCTGTGCACCCTTGGTTTCCCACCTAGGAGCTCATTCCTGGCTCTCAACTGTTAGTTTATAAACTTGTCATGTGTGTGCCAATAAATTCTTCAGAATTCGTGTCAGTATTGCACGTTAAATACCAAGCCCAACAATGAAGCAGTTCCTGAGATGCCCACGCCCTGTCCGTCGGGCCTGCCTGACGCGGCGCTCAGTTCTGTGGAGTGACTCACGCTCTCCTGGATTCTGTTTCTTTCAGAACTATTTTTAGAAAAATGAGGACAGAGATTTGATTCCTAGTTTCAGGCTCCCCAGGCTGGCAGAAGCTAGAATTGCTTCAAAACCACCAATTCTTCCTACAGCCACTCACCAGAACTCTCTGCTAAATCATAAGAAGTCACCAAAGGAGGGGCCAGCCCTGTGGCCGAGAGGTTAAATTTGTACGCTCCACTTTGGCTGCCCGGGAGCAGACCTAGAGCCGCACATCAAGCCATGCTGTGGTGGCATCCTACATAGAAGAACTAGAATGACCAACAACTAGGATATACAACTATGCGCTGGAGCTTTAGGGAGAAAAAAGAAAAAAAAGAAGCAGATTGGCAACAGATGTTAACCCAGGGCCAATCTTCCTCACCAAAAAAAAAAAAAAACCAAACATATTTTTTAAAAGAAAGAAGTCAGTAAAGGAGACAAGAATAAGTCAACCTCTGCTCATTCCACAAAGCACACCCAGGGAGCTCCTAAGCTGTCTCCGGCGCTGTTTTGGGTGGGGTGGAAATAGCCATGACTGGGCAAGCACGGACCCTGCTCTCCAGGGGCCAGCGTCTCCACCAGAAGGTGGAGATGGGAATGCAACTGTGGTTGTGAAACAGATTCAAATGCGTGGGGATGGATTCCGTGGAGAACTGGTGACTCCAGAGTTGGAGCAGGGAAAATACCAGATGAGCCTGAGACTGAGGGAGCAGGAAATAGGGACGTGTTTACAAAAGAAAGGGACATACCAAGAAGGCACAAGAGCCAACCTGCAGGAGTTCCCAACGGCCAAAATTAGAATGATTTGAGCAACAGGATAAACAGTGGATTCTAACCCATGAGTTAGAAGTATTGGATTCTAATCCACAGAGTAAAGTAAATATGTAAGAGTCCATAGTGACGTTAAAAACAATTAAATAAATAAATGAGTGGCAGGGAAGGCGCAGCTCTTCTTTACAGAAGAGTCCAAGTTCCAAATGTGGAAGGAATGATGAAAATATAAAATCACCATTGCACAAACATTACAGTAATAATTGTTGCAGGCAAGATCTGCTGATGGATACAAAAATCACTGGGCTAGGCTTTGAAAAGAAACAGGATATTTTCATAGTCTCAACTTATCTCCCTAAAAAGACTGATCAATTAGAAAGAGAAAAATAGTAGGTTTACAGCGGAGAAGCCCTGCAGCTATCTTAAGCAGGGGACCAAGG